AAAAAAACAACACCCAAAGTGCCTTACAAGATGGTCATGGACCAGCACATAGGGAAGCGCGCGCAGCATAAGGAAAAGCAACAAAGCAAAACAGAGAATGTAAACTCAAACCTGTGGCTACCCGTCAGATACTGCTAAGGTGCCAAAAAAACAGGTGAGTAATAAATAATGAGAAAGAAAACGTTAAAGATCCACAAATGCAGGGCCAAAGAGGGAGTCTGGAGGAGAAACTTCTAATGGCAGACCCATACAGTGAAGCCAAATCTTATGGAGACAACGAAAAACTAGATACCACGGTGCAAGATTCACTGGGTTGACAGTGCGAAGTGGACGAAGGCTATCAATTGCAACGTCAAGCGGAAGTTGTAAAACAGGAACAGGAACAGGAGGCAACAATAGGTCAAGACGCAAACATTCTGAAACATGAGATCTAGAGAGAGTTGCAGTGCGGCAGTGACAACACTGCTTGCGGGGGTGATAAAACAAACGTCCAAGGCGATACTGCAGAAGCCTCAAGATTGACGAAATAGGGAAGCATGGAGGAGCAATTGCTAGCGCATGAGGGTGTGCAGATGCAAGGGGAGCAAAGCTAGCAGCTATAGAACCATAGGCAGATGAGGCTACGTGGTGAAAGTGATTTGCGATAACATCAGAAGGTTTGGGAACTACAACATTTGCAGCCGGGAAGAGGAAGTGATTGTTGAAAGGGACAGGAGAACAACGAAAGTGCTTTCCCTGGTGAAGAAAGAATGACAACATAGAGTGAACCATATCAGGGGGATCATCATCCAGCCAACGTTGAAACATCTGAAACTGCAGATATTGAAGCCGAAACTGAAGGTCAGGAAACTTAAAAAACAGTAAAACCCCAGCAATTGAAGTGGAAGGCGAAGAAATCGACACAAACATTGGTGAATAAAAGTCCGAACTGGTTTGCAAACAGCAACAGAGGGAAGAATAAAATATAAACCAAATTCAAGCGTAGGTCGAATAAAAGACAAAAACAAATGACGAACCACAACCAGAGAATGAGAACCAAACATCCTTGAAAAAGAAAGCAAAGCAAAAGAAGCTGCGCGCTTTGGCAAGTCGATGGGAAATAGTCAGTGAAACATCAAATCCAGTATCTCCAAAAAAGCAACCCAGATAACGAAATGAAGGCTTGACAGGCAGAGGTTGACCATGAAGAAGCAAAGGCGAATGAGCAGGAATAGGAATTTTTGTGAGAATCACAGACTTCAAAGGAGCAAAAGAAAAACCACGAGCTTGGGCAAACTGGTCACAAACAGAGAGAAGAACCTGCATAGCATCCAAAGTAATTGCAAACAAGGCCAAATCATCTGCAAATAAAAAAGAATTATATCGTGGTTTGGCAGGATGAAAGAGTGTTATAGGTGGGGCAAATGGTCGGAGGAGCCCAGGTAGAGGATCAAGAAAAGTGATATAGAGAAGTAGACTGAGAACAGAACCTTGAAACAAACCTCTAAACAAATCAAAAGCATCTGAAAAACAATTTGCAACAACCACTCTGGAAGAACAAAAATCAAACAGAGACTTCAAAACAAAAACAAATGGCAACGGTACTCCCCTAGAAAGAAGCTCAGCCCAAAGAATTGCACGATTTGTGGTGTCATAAGCTGCTTGAATATCTAAAAAACCAGCAACCCAAGGAACCTTGGCATTAGACGCACAGGAGATACATGCCTGAAGACCAAAAACACATTCCATTCCCGAGCGGTGTGACTGAAATCCCGCTTGGGCAGCATCAAGTGGGCGTTGAGACGTGATAGCAGAATAAAGATGTGGCAACAAAGCTCGCTCAAAAATTTTTCGGGCAACACACGAAAGAGTAATGGGGCGATAATTAGTAATATCACCAAGCGTACCACGTTGCTTCCAAACTGGGTGCAAAAGCCCAAGATTCCATGAAGTGGGTGTAAGACTACTGCGAAAAATGGACTGAGAAAGTTGCAAGAACAATGGAGCAAGAATAGCTGAAATTGGGCGATAAAGTTCTGCAGGCAGACGATCATGACCCGGGGCAGACTCCAAAGGGCAGTCCCTAATAGCTAGAACAAAAGCTTCAACATCCAATGGCAGCTGAAAATCACACAGAACAATTGAAGGTGAAACTGGGTCAGCAGCTTGAGCATTGTAGACACTAGCAAAATGATCAGAATATTTGGCTAAAGACTGAGGATCAAAATCTAAACCATTAGCTGAAGTACGAAAGTTAGCGCAGCGCCGAGCATGAGACACATGTTTCAGAAGAGAAGGCACTGATGAAGAACTAGGGTCATCAAAAAAGTTTGCTTTTGTCTTACGCCTGTGTGATCTCAGAGCTGATTTGAATGCTTTGTGACTATCACGTTGGCGAGTTCTTAGAAAAGGAAGAAGAGGGTCAGAAGAATTGTGGTGAAAGAGGGAATAATAGTCACGGAATGCTGAACGAGCCTTACTACGCAACGAAGCAATCTCAGGGGGCAAAGGAGTGGTCGCTGGTGCTCTACGACGAGGTGTTGGTGGTCCCAATGTCAGAACTGCTGTTGCCTCAACAAAATCAACTATAATTTGAAATGCAGAATCAATTGCTCCCTGGGCCACTGCACGAGAAAGAGAAGTCCCCACAGGGACCTGAAGTGGTTCCAATGCTGCTGTTAGCGCCTCTGATGTAAGAGGAAGCAGAATCTTAGCAGTTTCTCTGTGCGACTTACGAATAACTTCATCCTTTAACAATGGGAGATTCCAAGAAGGTAGAGGAGGAGGCACAGTGGCCTGAGGATCTGGGCCAGCTAAAGAAAATGAACAGGTCACTGCAAAATGGTCTGAAGGATGGGGAGCCATAGACTGGGGTTGATCATGCACTAAATAAGAGGAAGCTGTCACATAAGTAGAAGCAAAAAACAAATCAATAATTGAACTCCCTAAGTGGGAACGAAAAGTTGGGCGACGAGCTGAAGAAGAAGCTGGGACAACCAATGAAAGTGAGTGGGCTGTAAAAAAAGGAAGAAGTGCTCTGGCACGGGCATTAGTAACATGATCACCAGTGCTCTGAGTTCTAAAATTGAAGTCACCCATCAAAACTACTGGTGTATCCGAATTCGAAACAAATTGAGGAAAATCAGATAATGCACCCAAACAGTCTTCCGCAGTCCAAAGTGGGGGAAAATAAAATCCACCAATCACGACCTGACGAAACCTAAACCACAAACCAAACCCAGAAGGAACTGATGCAATCAACCTAAATTGATAAGTACTGCAACGATGTGGGTTAATAAGAAGAGCAACACCAGATGCCAAAGGAGCGTCTGGTGGAGGACGAGAATCAAACAACAAATACTCAGAAGAAACACTGTCTAAAGTTAACTGATGAGTTTCTGTTAAAACTAAAAAATCAAGCTGATGAGTAACAAGCCAAGCAAGTAAATCTGAAAAATCCAGAGGCAAACCTCTACAGTTGAAGGTTCCAGAACGAAAAGTCCACATTAATTGCGAGATGTAGGTTCAGAACGCGAAGAACGGGCTAAAGAAACAGTAGCTTCAAAGTCTGCAGCAGGAAGATTAGAACGAAGATAATGAAAAACTGCAGGATCATGAGTAATTCGCAAGAGGTGAGCAAATCTTTTGTGAACAGCCTTTGCTACAGCAACTTGACGTTGCTCAAGTGATTGAACAGACCCAGAACGAAGCTGCCCAGGGTCAAAAAGATCAACGGGCACCTCATCACCTGGAAAAATGTCCTTGCGGAGCTTGTCAGCACAGTCAGAAGTACAAATAAACTCAGCAGTGTAACACCCAATAAAACTAATATGGCGAATGTCACGCGAAAATTGAGGGTTTCCAGAAATTCGATTAATCAGAGTGCGGAGCTGATTAAGTAGCTGACGACTAATTTCCTTAAACCTCACAGTAGCAAAACCAGCAGCACGATCACGAACAGGCTGAGGAGGATTGATCAAAATTGGTGACTCAGCCGGGTAATCAATCACCAATCTGGGTGGCCGTAGTGATCTGCGAGATAGGGGGTCCACTCCAGCAACCACTGAGCGATAAAGGGCGGGTTGAGCATCTGCTTCGGCAGCTTCAATACGAACAATAGCATTTGATGCACGAGAGGCAAATTTTGCAGTGCTGAAAGGCCCAGGATTGCGAGTAGCAGGGGCAGGTGGCGGTCGGCTAGCACTCGCAACTTGAGCATAGGAAGGCATGGCAGAGACAGCAGCAGGAGGGCAGCTGATAGTTTCAACCAACGGAACTACAGCAATAGTCAATGCAGCAAAGAAGGCAGCCTCAGTCTCTGGTTCCAATACTGGGAGAAATTGCATTGCACGAGTGAAAGCAGACATCACTAATGGATGAGATCCAGAAGTTTGAGCAGGGGCCAGCATATGCAGAGCATCCAAGAATCGGTCACGAGGAGTAGGCAAGGGAGAGGTAGCATGATCAGCTGCAGAGGCATTCTTCTCGACCCTGGCACGAGAGGCAGGTCGGCGAGTCGGGGGTGATTTTGATGCTCGACGTTTCCCTTTGGGATCAGCATCAGCAAGGGTAAGTGACATTTCAACTGTATCATTCATCTGAACATCAACGACACTTGCGGGGGATCTTCCTCTAATTCGAGGCGGTTCTGAAGTGGATGACGCTTGGTCACGTGATCGTGAGTCACGTGATTCGCGAGGAGAATTCACTTCATCTGCCCACAGAAAATTTTCTCCATCAAAGTTGCTGGGCTGAGAGTCAGGAATGTTTTCCTGAGGGGCGCGAGGGTGGGACACAGAGGGAGCACGGGAGCGAGCACGGCCAGAAGCGATGAAAATTTTTGAGGCGGGTGCGGCGGGCGGCGCGGCGGGCGGCGCGGCATGCGGCGCGTCAGGCGGCTGCGCAGGCGGAGCGCTGGGAGGCGGCATTGATTTGAGAGAGAGAGTGAGAGAGTGAGAGAGTGAGAGAGTGAGAGAGTGAGAGAGTGACAGAGTAAGAGAGTGAGAGAGTCAACGTTCCATGGTTGTATGGTGTAGCGGTTAGCATAACAGATTCTGACTCTGTTGACCCGAGTTCAAATCTCGGTACGACCTGGATATTTGAGGACAGGTGATTGATCAGTTTTAACAAAATGTAATTGAAACTTCCCCTTAACTTCATGCTCTTTTTCTCTACAAATTCTTCTCCAATGGGTATGGAAATCGAATTTCTTTGCGTTAAGCAGAATTTGTCTATTTGAGGCGGATTTCATTCAGGCACCCAAAATCTAGAAGAAACGAAGGCGAATCTAAAAACACGAGATATTCAAAACAAAAAGAGCCATGCAACACTAAAAAAAGGGAATATCGGCTGGCGAAAGTTTGGGATAGCACTCTGCAAAATGGAAAGGACCACCAAGATGCAGGGAATCACAATCCTCAATTCAGGAATCACTGGTCTCTTGGCTGCTGCTTGATGACACTTGTACGCTTTCCGCTTCCGCTAGTCATTACAGTCGTCGCGTCGCTCGTTCGCCGATCTCCCAAAGAATCCAGTATTTCTCCGTCGTTTGTATCGGAGTCGTAAGGTGACGATCTGTCCACCGAGGAAGCATTCGTCATAATTGTATCCCCTCTTCGAAGATTGACGTTCTTCGAAAATGCGTCGTCAACGATACGCCGGGCTTCCGCTTGCGACATTCTCGCCGGCGATGTGCTTCCATCGATTCTGGATGGTCCAGCAATAACTTGGTGAGAACCGGATGAAACATCTCTGTACTGCGGGAGATGTGGGGAAGGACTAAGAGCAGTTAAGTTCAGTGCAGCAGCTAGCGGCGATGGGGCATGCTGGACTCCCAGGGTCGCGGACCAAGGTTTTGCCGGCAAAGGTGCCACGACCCCAGGAGCAGAACGGCCAAAGAAGGAAGTGCTGCTGCCGTTCGATGATGCTGAGCTGCCACCCAAAAAGCCAAAGTCTTTATTCATCGAGCTTGCAAAATCATCGCCGGCATTGAAAACTGACTCATCCTCAGTCTCATAGTCGGGCTCACCACGCGAGCTCCCCGAGCCTGCACGAGATCCATGGAGATCGGTGGTTGATCTTTCATCATCGGTTTCGAAATAATCGAAATATGACGACAACGAGTCGGTTGTGCTGTGACGAGAACTGTTGAACTGCGATAAAGGGCCAGGGACACTTGGTGACGCCGGGACAGCCGACACTCCAACAGGAATGTTCGAGCTAGGTGACGGATTAACAATTGATTGAATTGTTGAAGTTGTTGCAGCAGGGGATTCGGAAGACACAAAGGACAGAGGTCTGTCGAGGGGAATACCACCTCGAGATGGAGCCAAAAACGAAGTTCCGCCCAGAGAAGACGCTCCAGCCAGCGAAGCCTGCTTCCCTCCTTCTGATCCCGCCATCGACCCCACCATGGAGGTACGTTTTCCTCTCTCCGACGAAGGCCGGCTCTCGACGAGACCCATGCTCCCTCCCGACCTTCTCCGAGAATCACGCCCGGGGGAACCTAAATCGCCTTCATCTCCGCTACTCACGATTGTGACTGTATTTCTACCGAGGGTATCGCTCATGAAGACGCTCTCGCGGAAAAAGTTTTCGTCGACCACACGTGAGATTCGTGGTGCACTCATATACGAAGAAGCTCTGCGATCAGATACTGTTTGATCCTCCGAAACGCTTGAAGCCAGCGATGCACCATCATAGTTCTCAGTTTGACCGGAAACCCAGCGATAGTGTACCTCAGTTGGTGGGGGACTAGCGATCATTGTCATCAAGTTCGTTGGAGCAACTTGAACGGATGCTTTCACAGGCATCGGAGCAGCGATGAGCCTCGAAGAATTAGCGTCGCCTACTGGGGATTGTCCAGCTCCCATTGGCATTTGCTGAGCGGGATAGTCGTGGTACAGTGCCGACGTTTGTGGTGCCTGTTGATAGTTGTAGTTCTGTCCAGACTGTATGGGATCGGGTTGCCCATAGCCGAACTCGTCAGAAAACCGATGTCGCTGCGGGCGGTCATTTGAATGATAGTAAATGACATTTCCCTCTTGTTCGGAATGGTACAATCCCTCATAGCCGTCGAAGTGCCCAGAAATCCTGTTTTGTCTGTTTTCTCCCTGTCTAGATGCGAATTGTTGGGAGAGCCGTCTATTTTGCAAAGGTTCTTGGTATGACGAGCCTCCCTCATTCGTTGCTGTCTGTTTTGCAGGAGGTCCACCGCGAGACCACTCATGGCCCTGCACAAAACCTGCTGCATAAATTTGCGGTTGTTGCGCCAAGGAGCTCGGATGGTAAGTGGAACTTTGGTATGGCTGCTGTGGAGGATACTGAGGAGAGGTTACATCCATCCGCTTTGGAATCACATCATAGTGACTATCGGAAAGGGGAGAAGAATAACTTGACAGTTGCTGAGATCCCTGGTGTGAAAAGAGCGGAGATACTTTCTGTTGTTGAAGCTGCGGAACATTTAACGCAGATCGAGGTCCAACAGGTGCAAGAAGGTCGGGTCGAAATCCCTCAGAACTGTTGTATGCAGACGAGAAATTGGACAGCTGACTGAATCGCTTTGTATTTGGTCCAGTTACCAAGTCTGCATAGAGCGCAGATCGTGGGGGTGTAATCTGATTCCCGGGCGGTCGATACGGCTCCGAAGCCGATCTTTTATGCATGGATTTCTGAAGACGTTGTTGGTTATCGAAGCTTTGCGAAGTCCCACCTGAAGTCAGTATCATGGACCCCGGAACGAATCTCGGTTCGTCAACTCCGGCTCTTCGCTCAAAGGATGGCGGGGGGCTGTTACTGAAAACCTCCTCCAAAGTTTCAGGATCAAGCAAGGCCTTCTTGTTACGTCCGGTGGAGTCGGAACGAGCAGCGTTAGTACGGCCGTAGTTTTGTTGTCGACCCCTCGTGTCTTCATGTAAATCATCCCCAAGCTGCATTCGACTCCGATTGGCGATCGATGTTTCCCGATCATCTAGACTCAATGCCGCATCGGCTGGTATAGACAAGCCGGCCGAACCACTCCATTTCGACGAGACTTTTGATCGGCTTTCCTCTCCACTCTTCCTCCCTCGAAAATCTCGGATGGAGTTAGTTTCGTCCGGCAATATGATCGCCCCATGCGAGTCGGAACGCGGTCGTTGCTTTTTGGTGCGCCTAGGTGCATTGCAGAACACTACTACGACCAAGACAACAATAACGATGGCCCCTGCCCCGAAGCCAAGAATCCACGGCCAGTACTGCTGAAGAATAGCCAAGACATCAGAACCAATGTCTGGTGACGGAGACGCTGAAGCAGTTGAATTCGCAGTTGGAAAGGCAACGCTCACTGTACTATTTGTGGTAGTAGATGCTGTTGCGTTGCTTTGGGGAAACACAGTAGAGCTTGGGGATAGGTTTGTGGTTGTTTGAGAAGCTGGCGGATCGAGTGGTTCTTGCCTTCTTACAACTGCCTGTAATAGCAAAATGGTTAATCCTCACAAGTGCATTAGTATGCAAAGTCCTCATACCCCAAACAACTGCTCGCTGACAGTTGAGCTTGCACTTGGACACATGGTGAGAAGTAGCAAAAATGACATGTGGTAAAGGGTGGAACATGTTCTTCTCGCATTCTCGGTGTGGAGTTGTTGGTTTGAATTGCCCTCCCAGGTTAAGGATTGCAGCTCAGGCATTCGAAAACCTCTAAACGTGAACGCAACAGTAATCTTGTCTCTCCCGTGAATGTGTTGTTGTGTTGGTTTGGCAGAGGCGCCACCACCATTTGTTTGGCACAGCGAGCTGTGGAGGACAGAAAAATTTAACTCTGAATTGATGGCATTTTCAAGAAGACAGAATGTGAAAACACCTATGCAACAAACACAAGAAGGAGATCTAACGCATCGCAGACAAAAGATTCAAGTCTAGCCCATTTCTCTACAATCCAAAGCAACAGCAGTCAAAAAGGAACTCATCCAAAAAGGTGCAGCAATACTGAGAGTTAGGCATTCAGTCTACGAATACCTAGGTGGAAAAAATCCTGCCTCTCTCTGCATGGGATTCATCCCAACACCGTTGGCAGCAACAAAAGCAGAACCCTGATGGACTAGCATGCTCTCGCTAAGCGCCACGGACGAGTCGAATTGAACCGAGGAGTCACCAACCACCATTGAAGAGGTTATGGACGGGTTTCGCTGCAAAGGATCGTTGGGGTCCTCGGGCGGGAGCATGAACCCAGATGGGGGATTGGCGGATATGAACGTGGTCTGGGGCATCACAGGGACAGGCGGAACAGGGGGTTGCAGCTGCGGCTGGAGCAAGACCGAGAGCGATGGGTCGGATGGCATTGCCGGAAGAACAGGCGTTGACATCATCATGAGCGGCTGGAGGATCGGAGTCGAGCTAACTGTAGAAATGGAGGGATTCCTTGATGCGAATGTAGAGACGGTTGGGTTGCGAGACTCCATACCAGGAACCGGAGGCACCGGAATATGCGCCAAACCGGGAGTCGAGACGGTGCTTTGACCAAGAACTGGGGTCTGATAAGGCGTTGTTGACGGGGATGGCGGACGAGACAGTTCCGGAGAGTTGTTCAATGTCCTAGATCGGAAAACCTCGTTATGGTTCATAACCGAATTGTTTCGGTTCAATCCCATCACACGAGACAACGACGCGAACGCAGAAGGGGGCGTGGAAGCGAGCGACTGGTTGCTGGGCTTCTTTGAAATAGTTCCAGGAAGGGTACCAGTCGGTGAAACGTGACCACTCTTCTTCAATATCGACTTTGTTGGTTGTGCTGCTGGCGGGAATGGAATGTCCTTCTTCGATGAGTCCTGTTTGAAGTATCCTGCTTTGCTGCTCCCTCCAAACCCTCCCTTTGCGAAGATATCCGCATCCCTACGCTGACGTCGATACCACACTGCTCCTCCAATCAAAGCAACAACAGCGATTAAGCTGGCAAACACAGAAACAAGAACAATAATGGTCTGGGAATTGTCCTTAGAGTCGTTTGTAATCGAATAAGTCGTATCTGGCTCATGCATATCCGAACCAGCTCCGCCATTGATGTACGGGGACGGAACGGACTTTGTGGTCGTTGTCGATTGGATTACAGCAGTAGCTC